TGTTGTAATTTCTCTTCTCGTTCTTCTTGTTTCTTTTCTTGTTTTTGTATTGCTGCCCATCAAATCTGCTAAGCTGTAGTTTGATTTTCCGCCTCTCGTTTCCATTTTTCTTCTCTTTTTTTTTTATCCCACTCTCTGACACCAATTGGTTACGTCTCCGTTTGTTAATTAACTTTCCGCAACTTCGTTCCGACGAAACTTAAGCGACACAACTCCTTTCTTAATAAAACTAGTTTATTAAGAGTTATATTCGGAAAGCTATACACTTAATCTCAATATTCGCGCTAAAACAAACAGTATCACGAACGAACGTTAACTTCAACAATACTCTGTGACTGCAGTTCAATTACTCACTGTCTACACACACATTACCTTACCTTCTTTTATATACCAGCGTACCCTATTTCTAGTAAGAACTTGAACATTCGTCAAAGTACATGATAGTTCTAGAAACGTTGCGTCACAGTGTCATGTGACTCGCTGACGCAACAATATCTTTCCTAGCTTACGAGAAATAAGCATTCAAAGTGTGATAAACAATGTTTTATAATTTGTCTACTTACTCTTACTCAGTATCAAAGTCAGAATGTTTAAATGAGCTAATGCTGAGTGTTCAGTTTCCAACCAAAATAAAAACAATGCTCGTTTAAATTAGAAAAACAGCTTTATTTAATAAAAAAACTGACTATCTTGTATTTAACATTTTTAAACATACAAAAAGAAAATGTTTACAGTTTGCCTAATACGATTCATAAACGGAAAAACATTATTAGCTTTCGACGATAAAATATTTATAGGCACGATAGTGAGGCCAGTCAAGTTACTGGAAGAGAAGCGCTACAGTGAAACTGTTGTTACTTTTTACACACAGGAAAAGATGTTTGGACAAATCTGGGTCATTAACACAGCTCTTTATAACGCTAAAATCCAGTATTCTTATGTTTTTGAACACATCTACACAACCTTAGGTCACGTTAAAAGCAGCAGCTTGTTACTGATTTTATATTAAACGAAATGAACCGTCAACAAGTGGTACAACCATTGTTGTTCATCACCTTGCAAACAAGGTGTGTATGTCACACAGGTAGATTTGGCACCTGTATCACGTATAGTAATTTTAAAATAACAGGTAGATTTGTCACCTGTAGCACGTATAGCATTTTAAAACAACGGGTAAATTTGTCACCTGTAGCACGTATAATCATTTTAAAATAACAGATAAATTTGTCACCTGTAGCACATATAGTAATTTTAAAATAACAGATACATTTTTCACCTGTAGCACGTATAGTCATTTTAAAATAACAGATAAATTTGTCAACTGTAGCACGTATAGTCATTTTAAAATAACAGATTTCATAATTTTTACTGATTAAAACCATAAGTAATTATCCGAATTAAAACAGAACGAATTTAGCGTTTAGCAATTGATGAAGACGCTAAAGCTAAAGGGTGGTCCGATGGGGATAAGTTAAGTATTCATGATGCAATGTCATCTGATCGAGTGAGTTCAGATTTCTGTTTAACTTTGATGTTTTAAAATTGTGACATACATTAACAGAAAAAATGCATGATGTGTATATGAAAGTGTGCGGGTGTTTTATTTTTGTAGAGCAAAGCCACATTTGGCTATCTACTGTGTCCACCACAAGGAATCGGTCCCCGGCTTTTAACGTTATAAGTCCGCAGACACGGGGGTGAGAGGGGGGGGGGGCAAACGACCCTGAGGCCCAGCAGTGAGATATTCCAAAGCTCACTAGAAATGCATACTACTTAATAAGCTAAAATGGCTACATCTTTTTCATTGATTCATGAAGAAAACTGTCACCTAAATTTCTTTTATGAAAATTCAGCAGAAGTTGATAAATAGAATGAAGGGGGGGGGGGGCAATGATATTACTGCTCTCGGGGCCTGGGCTGGCTCTCGAGGCTCCTGCGCAGACATACCACTGTCCCACGGGAGGACATGTTTGAGTCTGTGTGTGTAAATTTGATAATATATGTTTACTAAATTCAAATTTTGTGTTGTTGAAACTTGTAATCCAAAGAAAAAGAACTTATGTTTAATGAAAATACTGCACAACAAAAGTCGGGTTAGAATAGAGTGGTCGACTAAATACAGATGTGGTATAAAAATAGACAATACATTGTTACGACAGTGGAAGTCACGTGACACTAATAACACGTCATGAGATTCTAGAAGGATCATGATTGTTCGTGGCAACTCTAGTCTTTTCTACGCGTCCTCTATTTAGTATATAAGCCCGGCAAATAAAGCGGAGAGGGGAAGTGACGGCATAGATAATTGCAGACAGGCAGAGACTGATAATTGAGTCAAGTAGTGACCGTAAGTAAAGTGCGTGAATCGTTGTGAATTATAGCGTGTGTTTAAGTTAAACTGACTGTGGAAATTAAGTGTATTGCAAAGTTGTATTGAGAAAGAATAAA